TTTTGCAATTTTTTAACACGTGAATGTTTTTATTGAGCAAAACTTTACAATGTTATAAACAAAAGGAAAAAAAAAATATTAGTAATTACTAATTAATAACCATAGGTTGAAAACTATTAATGAAAATTCTTGATTTTTTGTGAGAGTTTCATAAAAGAAAAACAAAAAGTTATTAGTGATTACTAATTAATAATTATAAGTTAAAACTCTTGAGTTATAACTAATAAGTATATATAAGTTACAAAACTCTTAGGTTTTAGTGTGAGTTTCAATTGAATGTAGTGCTTGGAAATATATTATTATTATTATTATTATTATTATTGTTATTATTATTATTATTATTATTTCACATACAAATAATTTGTTTGATGCAACATTCTAATCCTTTAAAATTTTAAACCTAAAGATATTTACTTCTAATTTTATAACATACTTAGGTGGATATATACATTTAACAAATCACATATAATATATATTTTCACAAATATTATATGTAATTTGTGTCGTAGTAATTTGAAAAAAAAAAAAAAACACTTTCATATGAATAATATGTCACGATAACTCAATCATAATTAGATATATAATGTTAAAAATAATGTTATCTTTTAAATGTTGTCTTTTAAATATGTTGTAAAGGATAACCCAACAAAAAAATAATGGAAACTAAATATAATCAAAATAGAAAAACAACAATTAAATAAATAAGAAATTGGATGATTGAATATATAAAAAAGCTATTACATAAATATACATTTAAATCCAAAGAAAAAAACTTACGTTCGTCTACTCTGGTAAAAAAAAAAAAACTATATTCGTTTTTTTTACTTTTCTTTTTTCCTTTGACACCATTCAAGCATAAAAACTTCATGACAATTGTTTACTAACCTGCAATCAAAATGTTTTTCTTGACAAATAAGATTTATAAAGATGTTCCAAGCAAAATATTGATGTTTGGAGCGTCACATTCAAGATTGTTTAATACACATAAATCACGTATAAAGATTACATGAGAAAATGAATATAGAAAAACAATAGAAAAACTTCACTTGTGTTGCTTGAAGGGAAAAAAATCATATTATAATTACCATTTGTAATGCCATAAATCTTAAATGCACATATTATCTTAACATAGCTTCAATAACCTCTAATATCCAAAAATCCAAATACTAATATAAATATTAATAATAATAGAGAAAACAAATAAAATTAAAATAAACACTTGGTGTGTCACGTCTTCCTCAAAACTCGTCGTCTCCTTTAATTCTGAGCATTATCCTTCTCCTTCCCGCGGCCACTTGCTACGTTATTTTTTGCGTTGCGTACAATTAAAGATTCTAATGGATAAACCTATGACCTAGTGAGTTCGTATTGTAGATACATGTTCATCACTTAAAAAATAGTTTTATCATATATCTTCAGTAAATTATACAACAAAATATATCATCCGATGACATAATTTAAGGTAATGATTAATTATCCATAGAAAGAACCAGTGACTCGTTTCCCTTCCCCTTGGTACAACCTATCAGTTGTACTCCAGAATTTAAAATATGCAAAAAAATTGGTATAATTCTCCATTCTCATCCCCATTGATCACACACATCCGTCATCCAAAAAAGCACCCGTTTCCGCTAAATATGTCATCCAAAAAAGCACGGTTGATAACAAATCAAAAATAACATTTGCATGCAACCATACTTATCATAAAACATACTGTTAATAAATAAATAAAAACCACATAATAAACATATGATAAATATTTATGTGCAACCAACTACAGAACATGAAAAAAAACTCACAATGTAACCGATAACTTGTAACCGTAGCTTTGTTGTTAACTTGCACCCTATATTCCACCAAACAAAATTTCTAAAGCAACATCCTAGAAAACATCATATGTGATTGTTTTGATTCCAATATCCATATGTTGGGTTCGGTCGAACAATAATAATCATTCGTTTACATTAATTAAAACGTTCATAATAATGTTAGTAGAAGTACTATACTTTGTTATATTAACATTTTCAAATTAATAAAATTTCACTCTTAAAAATAATACTAAAATAGTTGAACGTTGGATACAAAAATATTGATTTTAACAATAACAATAATAACTAGCACTTTAGTAAAATTTGCATGGACCATTTTTTTGAAATACTTATTTTCGTTAACATGTTTGAATGAAATTTAAATTGTCAAAGTATTAATGATTTACGGACCGTTTATGTAACTTTAGCTTTCAAAAAAAAAATAGTTATATAGGTGATGAATTGAAATGGATGATTTATAGAAATCTACGAATTATCAAACCTCGTAAATTCTAATTTGTTAAAAAATATTGCCAAGCCACTTAACACATCTTACATCCCTATATGCTATTTGATATATTTTACTATTTCCATTTTGTTTTTAACTTAATTTTCTGCAACCCACCGAAAAAGAAAAATACTCAAATATTTTCTAACTCGAGTCTCGGCTATTCTTCATAAAAACTGCAGTTTGATTTTCATCAAAACCTTGATCAACAATATATATATATATATATATATATATATATATATATATATATATATATATATATATATATATAGTCAAATTAACGACTGTCGGCCAAAACAGACACATGAAGTGTAACTAAAACATGTAAGGCTTGTATATAAGCTTACTCAACCAACCAAATCGAGCTTAAATCAAAGAACATACCTTAATTAGAAACAAAATACCAAAAATCTTTACAAACTTTCTTCTCCGATTTTACCCTTTTTCAAAATTCTAGTTGATTTCTCGAGCTCTTTACAATGCCTAAAGTCTTGGACAGTATAATCCCTTCAAATGCTCAGATTTATTTGGCTAATCAAGATGACAGTTTTAGGGTTTAAAGCTAATCACGTCATTGATGTGACATAAACCATTTCTTCAACTCTTCATAGTTGGAACTACATAAAAGTTTTTTGTGAGAAATATTAGTAATATTTTAACCATAAATACTTGAACTATAAGAAAGCTTTTTGAATCACAGTAACTTCATGACGAATTTTTGTAACAAACATGTACTAATATAACCACATATATAATGAGAGAATACAGCCCATTATTGGAAATTTATAAATATTATAAATGTTTTTAATCAAGGAATATAAAATGTAATTTAGGTTTCAAATCAATATGGTTTGAGAAAACCAAATATCTCTAACCACATGATTTAGAATGACCTCCTTTATATATATATATATATATATATATATATATATATATATATATATATATATATATATATATATATAAAGAGGGTCACCATGAGAAATAGAATAAAGTGAGAATATGAAACTAATCCAAGCCTTATGGTAAAAAAAAAAAAAAAAAAAAAAAAAAAAAAAAAAAAAACAAGTGGTGAAGCTTTAAAATGTCTATAACTATTCAAAATCATAACCACAAGAATTATTTTTCGCTTGTAATATGATTAAAACCATAAATGAATAAAAACTTAACCTAACAACCCTTAAAGATCAATGATTTATGCATCTGATAGTATGCTTCTCATTATGTTGAGTTAATGTAGTTATTTCTAAATACAACTGTTCACGAAGAAATGGACTTTGAGTTCTTGGGAAATCGGCCGGGAAAACCAATCATTTTACAAACGAACGTATTTACAAATGGTCTCGGTGGTAGAGAGCAAAAATTCAGTCTTTGGTTCGATCCTGGTGCGGATTTCCATTACTACAAATTGCTATGGAACGAGCATCAAGTTGTGTACGCATGTATCCTCTTTTATTGGAAATTACATACATCATATAGATATCAAAATTTATAGGTTTTGTTAGCTTGATTGTATCCAATGATCAAGAAAAGAAAACCAACCACTTTATAAGCAAATATATTTACTAATGGTTACATTTTATATTCATTTCAGGTTCTTTGTAGATGACACACCAATAAGAGTATATAAGAACAACATAATTAGAGGTGTTGGGTACCCTAATCATACATTGCAAGTGATTACGAGCTTCTGGGATGGATCAAGTTGGGCTACTGATGGTGGAAAAACGAAGGTCAATTATTCAAATGCACCATTCCACGTCAATTTCCAAGATTTTAACATTGATGGGTGCATCTCCATGCCTAATAGTCCTAATAAGGATTGTGCTTCTCAAAAGTATTGGTGGAACAATAAAAAATATTGGCAATTGAACCCCCAACAACTGAAATCATTAGAAGATGCAAGAAAAAAGTATATGACATATGACTATTGTACTGATAAGAGTAGGTATCCTACCCCTCGTCCAGAGTGTAGTTAAAAATGATGGGTAATAATATGTATTACATTAATGAGATATTTTCTAACTATAGAAATAAAACTAAATGATTATGGTCCTTCATTTCGTAAGATGTACAAATTATGAAGGGTAAGATTTCATATAATTTTTTACAATTTACTTTAAAGATATAATTACAACAATACCCCATAATTTAAAAGGCTTTTAAGATTATAAAGTTCTTGAAAAAGACTAGGACGATTTTCAAAGTTTTTATGATGATTTATTTTTAATTGAAAGATTGAATCGCTTATTGGGTATGTAAAAATAAAAATATAACTCAAACAATTAGTAATTAACTCAAATACATATGTTGTTATTTGTTAATTAACAACCCCTTTTTCATTTGGTGGTAATTTCCAAGGGATGTTGCTATGCATTTTCGGGGGATTTTGCTATGGACTGAGATTGTGATTTTTGGTAAACCATAGGGTCCATTTATGTAAATTCGTTTTCATTTGATGACCAAGTTATATCCCCATCCAATGAGAGAATGCACAAGAGCATGTTTGGTCTCCTTTTTCTTTCACTGTCCCCTTTTCTTATCTGCTCGTTTTCTGTTCCTCTAGACATATAAATAAAATGCCCCATCCACCATATGTAGGACATGCATAAGATAGCTCCACATTGGACTCTACCTCTCACATACAGTTCTAAGATAAGATGGTTCTCTGCATCCTAGAGAAATTAGTTCCATGTATAGACCATTAAACTTGATCGTTGGAGCATGCTCCATAGGCTCATGTAATAGGATGGTTCTAACGATTCTATTTTATGACATTAGCTAGGACCCAAGTTGAGAACCACAAGCGCTACAAAGGATTGGGTAGCCACTGAATCAAACAACACCAAAACAGAAATATCGTTCATGAGGAATGATCCTAAAATAAAACACATAAATATAAGCAACAATTCAATATAATTAAAAGATAAGGAGAAGATACTTACCCGTCACCACATCTAGTGCCACGCAAGCCTCCTCGACTGTCAACTGGAAAGCCCTGCACCTCACCACAGGCGCATCCATCTTAACCTGGCGGCTGTTAGTAATCCGAAGAGTTATAGGAGCCGGTGCTGACACTGGTCCTTCTGCAACCAAATTCAGACAATGGGCCTTCTTGTGGCCCCTCCTAACTGCAATGGAAGAAAATTAGATCATATACCAGGGTGGTGGTGGTAGCAGTGCAATCCATACTAATACGACCCGTCCGGCCACACATGAAGCAACCAGAACCACCCACCCTGCACACTACATCGTGCATCCTGTTGCACTTGCCACAATGGCCGCAACCCAGTTGGCCCTTCACTGATGCAAGACTTGTCTTTTATTTTGATTATTCATTATGTTGTTTATTACTTTGAAAGAACACACTTGTATTTAAAATTATAGTATTAATGCAATGGATGATGTTTTTGCTTGTTTACTACTTTATATTGTTGTGATACTTTACATGACGTCCTCCGCCCTAGAACGTTTCCACCGTTCTCTGTTTTGGGGTGTGACTGGGGAGTTGTCAATCCAAAGCAATACTAAGCTAAGTAAGACTCAGAGCCTGCGTACAGAGGAAGATATAGCTGATATGAACCGACTACCATACGCTTTCGAAGTCGGTTCTATCATGTACGCTATCACTTGTACTCGCGCTGATGTGGCCTTAGCTTTGAGCATGGTTAGAATATATCAAGGGAACCCTAGTAGTGCTCATTAGATTGTAGTTAAAAATATTCTTAAGTACCTATGAAGGACCAAGGAATGGTTTCTAGTCCTCAGTGGGAGTGATGACTTAAGGGTACGAGGGTACAGTGACGCTAGTTTTCAAACGGATCGGGATAATTACTGATCGTAGTCGGGCTGGGTCTTTACCCTTAATGGAGGAGTAGTAACATGGAAAAGTTCCAAGCAGGAGACCGTAGTTGATTCAATGTGCGAATCAGAGTACATTGTAGCAAGTGAAGCATCAAAGGATACTATATGGTTGAAGAACTTTATTGGAGACCTTGGAGTTGTGCCATCCATAAAGGTGTAACAACCCTAAGTTTTCCATCGTCGAAAACCCGTTCTACCCGTAAAAAAAATTGTCGTTAATCAGTTCATTTCATTTCCGTTTTAGGTTAAATTAATTAAACTTATACGTTTATTATAATCCAATGAGTGTCCAAACCCCTTTGGAACTCATGAAATTATCCCAAAAATGTTTATCTCAAAAAGTTTAGAAACGTCCCCGCCCGGTTACGGAAACTTAATCGGGTGCGACCTAAATCCCCGTTTAATGCCGGTATCGGGTAGAATTCCATCGTGTCCAAGTTTTAGGACCTATTTAAACGTGTTTAAACATTCATTTGAAGCTTTTTCTTCCTCTCTCTACTCTCTCTCTAACCTCTCTCCTAAATCCAAGTTTAAGGGTCCAAATCATCAATTTAAGGCTCCAAATCTTTGAGGTACCTTCCCAAACATGTTATGCAACCTCTATAACCTTCAAATTCGAGTTTAAACCATGGATCAGGACCATTATCATGAGTTTACGGCCCTAGAACAGTCCTAGGCCGTAAACTCATCTAAATGGGGTTTTTGGAGCAACAAAACCCTTCCAAACCACAATTGGACCTTAGATATGGCTAGATGACTTTATGGAATGGACCTAGAATGCCTTAAACCATGATTTAGAGCCTTGTATATGAGTTTATGGCCCTGGATGGTGCTTAGGCCGTAAAGCCATATTTAAAGGGTTTTTAAGCCTTTAAACCCTTCCATGACTCAAACTAGACCTAGATATGACGTTTAGCATATTAGTAATGGACTTAGAACACCTTAAACATGGATTTTGAGGGATTTATATGAGTTTACATCCAAGGCATGTGCTTGGGCCGTAAACCCCTTAAAAATGTGAGTAAACCCATTTCCAATGTGTTAGAAAGCCATCCAACACCACCAAAAGCCTTAGAATAAATCATAGATCCAACCAAAAATAGTTTTGGGGCCTTAAACTCAACCAAACCCATCATTTGAGAGTTTACGGCCATAGCATGTGTCCCATGGGTGTAAACTCCTAAAATTATGTCAATTGGTGTCCCAAATTCATTTCAAGGCTTGTAGGGATTTTTAGAATCACATGTGATTGATTAAGGACCAAAAACATTAAGGATTCTATGTATGGGGGAGTTTACGGCCGTAAACTCCATGTTTATAGCTGTAAACTCCAATAAATGGTCCCTATGCGAAGTTAATCCATTCCAAGGCCTTAGATTTAATCCTAACAAATTTTCCCTAGTCATATGAAGCCATTTATCAATCAAAAACACCCCACCATGAGTTTACGGCCGTAAACTCATGGGGAATGGGTGTTATGGGCTGAAAACTCTTGTATGAGTATACTCTTGGGGAGTAAACTCAAATTCCAAGTCCCTAGTGCCATTACACGTCCTTAGATGTCACCCGGGTCCTTCCAAACACTTGAAATGAGGTGTTTCCGCAACTAGAAGTCTTTGTCCCTAACAAATAAATAAACTAAGTCCTAATTAGATACAAATGTGGATCTTTTCATTATACATAGGAATCTCGTACGTTTGCAAGCCCCGAACCAACATTTAGCATCCGAAATCATCACATTTCTCGTCCGGTGAGTTCATACCCCTACCCTTTTCAATGGTGTTTCAATGATTTCAGGGGGGGGGGGAATACAAGCAAATTACAAATGTTTTCAATACATAACATTGATGTATTTCAAATAATATCTGGCAAACTTATAAATACCTTTACCCCTTGTGTATTACGCTGAGCATAAGGGATGATTTATCAAGTACAACTATATGAATTTCAGTTAAGGAAATAACCAAAGTAATCAAATTATTATGGGAATAATTTGGGGTTCTTTAGTTCTTGTTTCATCACATACCGTTATGTATACAAAGTTATTAGATAAACTATGTCCGATACAGTTTATCTCCGTTTCATTTTGAATGTATTGCCAGATGATTTCTTTGTATATACTTGTATTCACTGTATTATGTTTCATAATCTTTTGTATGTTTGATATCGTATGAGAACCCTGTGAATAGTTTAGTATTACCTTGTGAGTTCATCACTACGCTGTATGGATGATCAGTAAATCCTCCTCGGAAGTGTAACCAGAGTCTCCTGGAGGGAGGGCAAGGAATTTGTGAATAAATCTATTCGGGACTGACAATCCCACACCTTAACTGCTAGCTACAGTTAGGCGGGCATGCCTGGGGTGACAAATTTCTGGATATCATTCGACATCTGACAAGCGTCAAATAGGTCTCTTTGTTGTATCAGCATGGTTACCCGACTCACAATACGTATTAATATAAGTTTATTCACAGTATTACTTTGGGGTTTGATTTGACTTTGATTCGATTCCATATCTACTTTCTACCTATAGTTTCCATGTCCGGTACGGGATGATAGTCCCATGGTTTCCAGTCTATTGATTGTACATATATTCTGCGGGATGGTAGTTCCATGGTCTTTAACTTATATCTAGTACGGAATAGTAATCCCATGATTTCAACCTATATCTTGTACGGGATGGTAGTGCCATGGTTTTGAAACTATATCTAATACGGGATGATAATCCCATGGTTTTGAGCCTATATCTAGCACGGGACGGTAGTCCCGTGGTTTCCAAATCTATATTTTCATGAATATTAAACTATACTATATCTAATACGGGAGGGTAGTCCCATGGTTTTCAATCCATGTTTCCATGAATATCAAACTATATAGTATCTAGTACGGGACGGTAGCCCCATGGTTTTCAAATTATATTTTCATGTATATCAAACTGTCTTGTACTTAGTACGGGATGTGAGTCCCATGGTTTTCAAACTATTCTCTATCTATAGATCGTACATTTCAAACTAATTCATATCTAGTTCGGGATAGTAATCCCATGATCCTCAATATATGTAGTTTTATGTATTAAACTATATTATGTAATATTCAACCGGTCTTACACTTAGGAAAATATGGGATTTTCCTAGGGTAAAATAAAACACATAAATGAATTGGTAACAAGTGATAACTAAACTAAATTTACATAAAACAATATGGGATTTTCTTGGA